GGGAGATTTGGAAGATAATTAGGTCATGTAGCAGGAGGCCTTATAAATGGAATTTGTGCCTCTACCACCTGGGAAAACAAGCAGGCACCATGTTGGAGCCAGGAGAGTGCACCATCACCAGACACCAGATCTGCCAGCCTGTAACTGTGGAAAATAAATTTCAGTTATTTATAAATCAGCCAGTTTACAGGAATTCCCATTAAAACAGCCCAAAGGGCTGACAGAGTCTTTCTAATGCAAAGCTAATCATGTTACTTCCTTCCTTAAACAGCTCCAACGGTCAAGGTTAAAGTCCAAGCTCCCTTCACAGATCTCTAGCCTGTGACCTGCACTGGGTTCATCTAGTACAATCTTTTTGCACAATCCCAGCTATAGACTTGAAATTCCAGTCTCACCTACCCCGCCTTATTCTCTGTTCATGCCTGGGGCCATGCTGCTCCTCTACCAAAAAATCCAAAGCTCCCAGTTCATCTGGGACAGCCCTGCACCAGGACACAGCAGTGGAGACAGACACTGTGCCAAGCCCCAGGGAGCTCACAGCCTGAAAAGTCACAGGGCATTAAAGGTAGCTCTCAGGGAGGAGGGAGGCAGGAGAGAACTGTCCTCCCAGGAAGCAACATTTGAATTTATCTGCTTTTTTGTTATACTAGCCTGGTCTACTTCTCTGCAGATAAAACTAATTTAGAAGTCACTTTTTCAATTTATTTATTTAGTGTATCTGAAAGTCTAAAATGCCCATTCCTTCAGATTTAAGACATGTGTTTCCTCTTTTTGTTTAACTGAATTTTTACAATTCTCATACTATATATTTTGATCTTATTTAGATTCCCTCCCCTACTAGCTCCTCCTTTCTACCTCTACCCAATTTAATGTATTCTATTATACATATATGCATATATACGTATATATACATATATGTATATAAAACAAGGTCTATAGTGTCTAATTTGTGCCCTCAAATGTCCTTCAGTGTGGGTCCATCAACTGAAACCTGGTTAACCTACCAAGAGTCACACCCTTGAAAGAGACCGACTCTCCCTCTCCCAGCAGCCATCCGTTGCCAAGAGTTCCTCAGATAGGTCTGGGGTTTCTTATCCACTTCCCCACATCTATGCTGGGATTTTACCTGATTTGAGGGGGCAGAAAGATTTTATGAGTCAGAGGTGGTGAATGACCACAAGGAAGTAAGAGTTTTCCAAACAGCTAGGCAGTTACTCATATGAACTCACAGCAACTTTAGAAGTCCCACTCAAGCTCAAACCAGGCATTTCCTCTTTTCAAAAAAATTCACTTGCTAGCAAAATGCTAATCAGATTTTAAAGTCAGCATTCCTAAGCACCCTCCCCCACCACAAGTAAGGCAGAACTGACCCATACAGAGCTCTAACAGACAGCCTGGTACTGAACCTTCCCTGCCGGTTCCAAGCCAAACTCCAGAAAGCACTGAGAACCTTAAGGGCAGAAACACCACCCTTCCAGCTTTTAATTCCTCACCTGCATAGGGCAGGCCCAAGGCAAATGCCTATTTAACCATTTAGAGGTGGGGTCTCAACTAGATTGGCCTGGAACTCAAAGTGTAGCCAAGGCTGGTTGGCCTTAAACCCCTCATCCTCCAGCTTCTAAGATAACAGATGTGACCACCACACCCCACCAGCTACACTTGGCTTCTGAGGGGTCGAAGTTCAATAGGATGGAGAAACTGTCCCTTTCTAGCCTTAACTCCCTACTAGGGACATTATTAGAATTTGTGGTGATTTTTTTTTTTTTAATTTAAAAGGCCTTTTTTTTCTTAAAATATTTTATTTATTATTTTTATTTTATGTGTATGAGTGTATTCCCGCATGTGTATAAGTGCACTTGTGTCGTGCAATGCCACAGAGGTCAGAAGAGGGCATAGGATTCCCCTGGAACTGGAGTTAAGAACGGTTCTTAGCCTCCATGTGCGTGCTGGGAATCAAACCCCGGGCGCTGCAAGAGCAGTCAGTGCTCTTAACCACTGAGCCATCTCTCCAGCCCAAGGCCCTCTTTTTTTTAATCCTAACATGTACACTGTTTTATCAGTTTCCTAGTTAAGAAACTGATATCAGATTTTTTTTCTTTTCTTTCTTTCTTTCTTTCTTTCTTTCTTTCTTTCTTTCTTTCTTTCTTTCTTTCTTTCTTTCTTTCTTTCTTTCTTTCTTTTTTTTGAGACAACGGTTTCCTTCTAGACCCATCTGACTTGGAACTCATGATGTAGACCAGGCTGGCTTCAAACTCACAGAGCTCCACCTGCCTCTGCTGCCCAAGTCCTGGGATTAAAGGCATGCACCACCACATCCAGCTTGATATGAGATACATTTTTTTAATATTTATTATTTTTATTTTATGTATGACTGTATTGTCTGCACACCTGTGTCACACAGTGCCCCTGGTAGTCAGAGGAAGGTGTCAGATTCCCCTGGAACTGGAGTTATAGATGGTTGTTAGCTACCATGTGGGTGCTGGGAATCAAACCTAGGTCCTCTTCAAGAGCAGCCAGTGCTCTTAACTGCTGAGCCAACTTTCCAGGCCCTGATATCAGATATCAGATTTTTAACTGTTTTTTTTTTTTTCCCACTACTCTATTCCTAGAATAGAGACAGAGTAAGCCTTCAGTTAATATTTGTTGAATGAATCACAGCTGTACAATTATATCTGTTTCTTAAAGAGAACAAACTATCAGTTGCTTCACAAATTCCCAAGGAGGGGGGGAAATCACCTCAGAAGATACCTTAAGATTTTGCCTGGTAATCTAAATGAGCTACAATTTGTTTTTAAAGTAAACTTTTAAAGAGTACACAATCAATGTATAAGCACTCTTCAAACTGTCAAGTTTACCCAAAAAAGGACTCTTCCAAATCAGTTTAATTGGTAACTTGGAGTCTGTCACATGTCTGCCATACATGTTTTCATAGCATAGCTAAAGAATCTCTAAGAATGACACCCTCCTCAGCCCCCAAACTCCATTTATCTCTGTAAGCATGGGACTGCTGGCAGGGAGGAGAGCCAACAGTCCCATTGTTTTTTTCTTAAGGCAGTACGGATTGAAACCAGGACCCCTAGCACCCTAGGTAAACACTCTACCTCTAAACTAGAAACTGAAGTTTTCTGAAAGAGCCACACCTCTGTTGGAGATTCTTCAGATGGATTAGAACTTTATGACTGTGAAGAGTTGGAATGCTGCAGATCCAGAGCCAAAATTATCTTGGGTTATCTTTTAGTCCCCTTCATAGTCATTTACCACACACCTCTGTGTCTGACCTAGTATCCTTTTAACTATCAGGTAAAAATTTAGGGATATATTGTTAACAGACCACTAGATTCCACCAACCCCAAAGCTAAGAATGTCATTGGATAACATCTGAGACCCTAAGTAATATATAGATGTATGAAAACTTCGTAGAGGAAAACTCAGGTCCTCTAATAAAAGAAAATCAAGTGTGGTAGTGCGTACCTATAAACCCAACACCAGGGAAACTGAGGCAGGAGGCCTGCCTTGACTTCAAGGTCAGCCTAAATTACACAGGGAGAATTTGTCTATAAATATAAATTAATAATAAATAAATAAATAAATAAATAAATAAAGTCAGCAGGATAGCTCAGCAGGTAGTGCTGGGGATTTAACTAAGGCCTTGCGAATGCTGGGCAAGTGCTCTACTACTGACCTACAGCTCCAGGACTTCATTTCTATGAAGATACAGAATATTTAACCAAGTGCTGAGGTGCTAGAAGGATTTGTAGAACTAAGGGCTACTGTAGCATGCAGCTTGGTCTGCTACAGTTTCCTGACCATGGAGAGCACTTTGAGTACTTGTCTGGGGCTACTTGCAATAAGCAGCTGATTTAACTCTTAAAACACACACACACACACATCCTGGATTCCTTTTTCTAATCAGGGCTTTATCTTCTTTGGGGAGTGTGATTTAGTTTTCACTAGGGAAAGTCAAGGGCTTAAACAGATTGTCATCAAATACCAACAGTATTTAGCAGAAGGAAGGGAGTTTAAAATACTGTGTCACAATGACACTGGTGTTAAGCGAGTGAACTGGCTGTGAATAAAATGGCAGTCTCTGCAGTTGTTTTCCAAACCTAACTATCTCCACAGATCCTGAGGAGCACATTATAAAACAGCATGCCTGTTCCTAATTCTGAAATGGTAAGACACATCTTTCCATTCGTTAAAGACTGACTAGTATAACCCACAGCACATATCCTATTCAACTTTATATCTGGACAAGCACAACAAACAGTGTCATAACGAATGCACTAGGACAAAGAAGTGAGACGGATATTAGACAACAAAAAAATAAGTTTATCAGTCCGTGAAAAGAACAAGTAGCACCTATCCTCCAACAACTGAAAATAAAGTCTTTCAAGGTATAGCCAATCTGAAGCATTTCTCCCACTTGTGATGAATGTCTAGACAGTGAGACTTAAATTCATGGGAAAATCAACAGTTGCTCGGTACTGGAAAAGTCCACGGCTGGTCTTTGCCCTTGCTTCTACTCAGAGCAAACCTGTGTCAAATACTTGGTGACCACACCAAGGTTCGGGACAGGTGCTCAGTTGCTAAGTGCCTGGTTTTGCCATCTCATGCCAATGCAGAACTAAAACCATGAAGCAGACAAAAACTCGGGAACCTACAAAAATTAACACGTGTTTGCCCTAGTTAATAATCAACTACAAACGTTGGCTTTTTTTTTTTTTTTTTTAAGTAACATGTTTTCCATCTGAAAGAATCCTGCAGAACTTGGAAGCCAGCAAGAAACAGCAACGCAGCTACTCGGGTCTGGACGGAGGGGGCCGCGGAGGTCCAGCGCCGCGGAGCTACGAGTCCCGGGCAGCGAGGCCGCGGGCCGCGGAGGGGGGAAGGGATGGAGTCGGGGGGCCGGGATCCCCGGAGGGGCACCCGTCTCCATGACGACCACGCAGCCAGGGGAGGGGCGCGGGGCAAGGGGAGCCGCAGGAGCCGCAGCCGCCTACCGTGTAGCCGCGCTCCAGGTCGCTCTCCTCGTGGCGAAAGGACGGGATGTAAACCTCCATGGCCGCGGCGGGCCGGGCCGGCCGGGCCTCGCTCCTCTCCGCGCCGCCGCGCTCCGCAGTCCCGCCCCGCCTCCCGCTCCCGGCGCCCGCGCGGTCCACACCCAGGTCGGCTGCGCTCAGGGCGGCGGGTCTGGGAGCGCAGGGCTTCGCCGGGCTCCGGGTGTCGGGCCCAAGGGGCGGCGGAGATCAGCTGGGCCCGGAAGGCGGGGCCTGGAAACCTGAGTCTGCAGAGCCTGGGAGTGCGCGGCCGCGGGCGCCACCCGGCCCGCCCTGCCGCCGCCGCTGCCCGCAGCTCGGTGCGTGCCGCTCGGTGCTTGCAGCTCGGTGCACCGCCTGCTCCCGGGACCATTGCAATTTGTGATGCCTCACGTAAATTGAAAGACAGCAGAGGACAGAGAATGATAAAGCCTCGCAGTTCTACTGAGTTGCTCCGTGTTCACCAAGACGCCCGCTGCCTTGTATTCGATGCTCTGCACCCCCATGCTGTTGTTCAGCCTTCGAACCCAGCAATAGTACCACATAGCCTGAAAGGCTTTAGTGTGAACGCTGGTTTCTGGCTCTGGTTCTAACCCGTTTACTGCCTCTGAATAACGCTGTGGCCTTCTAACCGTAAAACAAAATAGAAGGGATCTTTTTTTAAACCTGGGGACCAGACCACGCCCCTCGGGTCAGGACTTAACCTCGAAATAGATTGTCTCCTGTCAGGAAAGTTGATTATTAAGTTACTCGAGAAAACTGAGTTTCTTCCTTAGAGCACTGAGAATAGAAATTTGGAGGCGCCTTCTGGGTCACTAAGAAGCAAAGGCGGAGGGTGTCAAAAACAGAACTGACCAGCGGGAGAATTCTGAGCTACAGTGGGCAAACAGTTGCACTCAGCTCACTTGTCTTTGAGGCAGGGGGAATTTCAACTTAACAAACTCTAACGTCTAAGATGGGAGCCTAGGTCATGGAATAGTAAAAGTAGTCAGGGTTTTGCTTCAAGAACTTGCCTCGTGTGCCTTCAAAATCCTCTTCAGTCTCTTCTGAAGAGGCGATCCCAACCCAGCACCTACATCTTTGCAGCGGTAGGATGTGACATCCTCTTAACTGTTAGTCATGATTAAGCCATCTTTACCTCCTGTATCTCGCGATGGGGACTGGGCACCTCTGGAAACTTTGCCGATGCAGAGCCCAGTGATTGTCACATTGTATTGTGTGATTTCTCTACGTTACAGGTAGATTTTAAGGCAAATCTGTCCTCACGGCCTTCCCTGAGAGAATCTAATCCAGGGTACAACTGCCTTAAACAACAACAACAAAATGTTAGAGCCAGAGAGATGGCTCTGTGGTTAAAGGAGATTGCTGCCAAGCCTGATAACATGAATTTGATCCCTGGAACTCACGTATTGGAAGGAAAGAACCCACTGCCACTGGCTGCTCTCTGGCCTCCAACCATGCACTAAAATAATAAATAAATTAAATAAATAAATAAATAAATTGCACATGTTATACTCTTTGAGGCATTGTATCTAGTGCATTTTTCTAGAAAGCTTTATGTAACCATCTAAGTACTCATCTATACAAAGCCAGTGGACTGGAGCAGCATGGTTTAAATAACTTCATGATATGTCTCCTTGTGGAGTACAGGAATTCACAATAGAATTTAGAGTTCGAGTGTAAGTGGTGTTTCCTGGGGTTTGTTTTTTGATGTCTTAGTCTGTTTTTTGAGACAGTCTCACTTTGTAGCCCAGGCTAGCCTCAAAATCAAAATCCTCCTGCCTCAGCCTCCCGAATGCTAGAATTGTAGATGTGCATGTGTGTGCACACATACACATGGAATACTATCATCTGTCATTGGGGATAATTTGATCTTTTCCCCTTTTTTCCATTTTATTTATTTATTTATTTATGGTCTTGCCTTATTATTCTAAGACCTCAAGCACTATATTGAATAACAGCAAGCACCCTTGTCTTGTCTTGCTCCTGATCATCAAGGAAATGCATTCAGTTTTCACCACTTAGCTCAACGTTGGCTGTGGCGTTATGACAGTCTTTACTGTGTTGAGGCGTGTTTCTTCTGTTCCTAGTTGCCTCAGGGCTTTCACTATGAAGGGATGTTGAACTTGGCATTTATTGAGATGAGCATGTGATTTCTGTGTCTGAGTTCAGTGACATGCTTTATTGCAGTTGCTGATTTGCGTATGCTAAAATATTCTTGTATTTCTGAGGAAGCTGACCTGATCACAGTGTATAACTTCCTTTAAAAAATTTTTTTTTTATTTTATGTGTATGAGTGTGTTGCCTGCATGTATGTGAATGGACCCATGTTGTACAATGCCCAGTGCCACGGAGGTCAGAAGAGGGCTTCGGATTCCCCTGGAACTGGAGTTAAGGACAGTTCGTAGCCACCATATGGGTGCTGGGAATTGAGCCCAGGTCCTCTGCAAGAGCTCTTAACCACTGAGCCATCACTCCAGCCCCAATAACCTTTTAATGTATTGAATTTTGTTTGCAAGTATCTTATTGAGAACTTTTGCATCTGTGTTCATCAGAGATAGTGTCTATAGTTTTCTCCTTGTGGCCTTACCTGATTGGGGTATCAGGGTGTCTAGCTTGCTTTCTGTTGCAGTGATAAACACCATGACCAAAAGCAACTTGGGAAGGAAAGGGCTTATTTCATCTCATACTTCTACATCACAGCCCATCACTGAGGGAGGTCAGAGTAGGAACTCAAGGCAGGAACCTGGAGGCAAGAGTTGAAGCAGAGACCACAGAGTAACTGTGCTTACTGGCTTGCTCCCAGGCTCATGTTCAGCTACCTTTCTTATACAACCCCGGCCCAGGAATGGTACTGCCCAGAGTGGGACTAGTCCTCCTACATCAATTACTAATCAAGGACATACTCCACAGACATGGCCACAGACCAGTCCCATGGAGGGAATGCCTCAGGTGAGGTTCCCTCTTCCCAGGTATGTCAAATTGACACCTGAAGCTAGCTACAACACAGAGTAATGATAGAAAATTGTTGTTGTTGTTGGAGCTCAAGGGAAGGGAATCAGTGTCTCATATAGCCCAGGCTAGCCTTAACACTATAGAACTGAGGATGACCTTGAACTTCTCTGATCCTCTTGCCTCCACCTCCCAAGGTGCTGGGATTATAGGCATGTCCACCTTGTAGAGGTCTTAAATTTGTGGAGTAAGTTTGGTAGTGTTTCTTCCCTTTCTGTTTTATGGAACAGCCTGGGAAGAACTGATGTTAGCTCTTCTTTAAAGGTGTGATAGAAATCTTTTTTGGGAAATTATTATTTCAATCATGTTTCTTGTTATAGATTTATTTAAACTGTTTTCTCCTGATTGCATTTTGGTAGGTCATATGTGTCCCGAAATTTGCTCTTCTAGATTTCCCATACTTTTAGAATATACTAACGATCCTCTGGTTAGTTTGACCAAAAGTTAGTCAATCCTGCGCCTCCCCCCTTACACACAAAACCAACTGTTTCTTTGTTTCGTTTATTCTTTATTTTGTTGTTTTAGACTCCATTCTTTAATTTCTACCTGGATCCTTATAATTTTGTTACATCTAGTACTATTGGGTTTGGCCTGTTTTTGTTTTTCTAAAATATTATTGTTAGGGTTCCAAAGAGCAGCAGTTTCCCCCCTCCCCAACAGGGACCTCACCTTGACCTTTGGAGTCAAGGGAAACAAACTCTGCTGAGAAGCAGCCTACCTTTCCTTTGACCTCCAAAGATAAGCAGAGTTCCTCTTATCTTAAGAGGAAAAAGAAAACACTTCCACACCCTAATCCTACCTGCTTCACCCTCCCTGATTCCACACCCTAAAGCCCCCATATCTAAAGTCCCAGCTCACACCCTTCCATACCCTAAAGCCCCCATATATAAAGTCCCAGCTCACAACATGTGGGTGGACATCTTTCCCTGACATCTTTCCCTTCCCTTCCCTTCCCTTCCTTTCCCTGACATCTTTCCCTTCCCTTCCCTTCCCTTCCTTTCCCTGACATCTTTCCCTTCCCTTCCCTTCCCTTCCTTTCCCTGACATCTTTCCCTTCCCTTCCCTTCCCTTCCTTTCCCTGACATCTTTCCCTTCCCTTCCCTTCCCTTCCCTGACATCTTTCCCTTCACGGACATCTTTCCCTTCCCCGAGGGAAAGGTGCCCCATGCGAAATAAATCTGTATCCCGCTGAAAATTCCATCTGTGCCTCGGTGCCTCCTCCATCCACGCCTCTCGCTCCCGCCCATTCTCTACCTATCAATTATTATTGATTTGAGGTCTCTGATTTTTTATATGTATATGTGTGCTGTGCATGCATGCTCCTATGGGTATGGGTGCACAGTGCACTTGAGTGTGGAAGACCAAACTCAGGTTGACGCCCAGTATCTTCCTCCATCACTCTCCACTTTATTTTCCGAGGCAGGGTCTCTTGCTGAACCTAGAGCTCACCAATTCTAACTATTCTACTAACCTGCTTAGGTTCTCTCTCTCTCTCTCTCTCTCTCTCTCTCTCTCTCTCTCTCTC